CCCCTGCTATTACGACGGCGGCGATCCAGAGGAGGGCGATCGTCACGAGGTCGGGCCAGGGGTGGTCGGTCATCTCGCGGCCGGTCATCCCGGTGCCGTCCACCTTCACGACCGTAGCTGGGCATATACGTATCCACGTCCGCGCCCGGCGGCCTGGGGTTGCGAGGTCCGCGTCCGCCATTCCGGTCACGGTACCCCCCGCGGTCGTCACCGCTGTCCACCGGTGGCGGAGGGCGTGGTGGCAGTCCTCGCTCACCGGGCATTGGCCTGTCGCGCGCCCACGCCGGTCGCCTTTCGTCGCCGTTGCGATGAGGGTGGCGCCCTCCGTTGACCCCGTTGCGACCGTTTGCGTAGCCGTCCCCAGTGTTGAACCCGGCGCTGGCGCCATGCGCTTTCGGGACCCATGCCAACCGTGCCACCCTTAGGGGCTGGAGGCAGGGCGGGCCTTGCGGCCGTGAACTTGCGCCTGTCAAAACTCAGGGCTCTCCTCAAACGTCGGGAGCTCGGGGCGCCTTGGCCGGCAGAGGCGACATCTTGAAGTACGGGTGCTGCAGCGCATCGATGGCGTTGATGCGTGTTTTCCAGTCCAGCTTCAGAAGCTCTTTGAGCAACGAGATGGCGGCCGAACCGTGTTCCCTGAACCTCGTGGACAAGTTGCCGGGGCGGGACCGCGGTTGCAGCCCCTCGGAGCCAGGAAGTGTGCTCCACAGCGGCATGTTTTGTGGCGTCGGCGAGCCCACGAGGTCCCAGATGATATCCAGCTGATGGCCGTCGCTGTCGCCCGAAAGGATCGGTTTCCCGGTAAGCATCTCACCAAACACGCAACTGCTCTGAGGTTAGACGGCGATCGGCAGCAGGATTCTTGTCAACTCACCCAACCCCCCAAACGTCAATAGCAGTCGTGTACTTCTTCAGGTGCAGCAGAAGCTCGGGAGGCCTGTACCATCTGGTGACGACCAGGCCGGTATACTCCCGCTTGCCATCTCCACCTCCCTGGCCGGCCTTGGGCGTGGGCCCGTCGTAGTGTCTGGCCAGACCAAAATCGGCAATCTGGAGGATTCCTTTGTTGTTGATCAACAGATTGGCAGCCTTCATGTCTCGGTGAAGGATATGTTGATCATGTAGATACCGCAGGCCTTCGAGAAGCTGCAACATGTAGCATTTGATTTGGGGTTCGGTAAATGTGACCGAGGGGTTATCGAGGAGTCCAGAAAGATCGTGGTCCATATAAGGTGTAACCATGTACATGATCGGTCGTTTTCGTTTCACATCGTTCGCTGGGGAAATGGTTAGCCATTGCGTCCCGCACTCGGACAACGGGGTGGCATGGTTGGGTGCCTTACATCTAGGGGGGTGCTCCACTGCCATATCTTCGAGACGAAGGATATTATCGTGGGAGAGCAGTTTCAAGAGCTTGATCTCTCGGAGCGCGGTAATGGGAAACTGGAGATTGTCGTCAGCCTCAAGTGGTCTTGGGTCGTTACGCATGGCCTGGAAGGGCTTTGCGCGCGATGAACTGGGTTTGACATACGCTCATCCTTTCATTATGCATGATGATCTTCTTCAGCGCGACGAGCGCGTTGGTCTTGCGCGAACGCGCGCGATGAACTCGCTGGGCGAGCGAGGGTTAGCGATGGAACGACTTAAGCAGGAGCAAGGGCAAGCAGAGAAAACCTACCCAAAGGTACCCTCGCCAAGCTTGCCGAGTACCTCATAATCGGTGATTCTGGAGCATCCTGTAAAGCTGATCCGCGGGCGCTGGTGTTGTATGGCAAAAGAGCGCGGCGACAAGCCGCCGTTGCTGCTGGGCATGGGAGACTCCATGGTGGGTTGGCCGCGTTTTGCGCTGCCGGTCAAGGTCGGTGGGAATCGGGGTCAAAAGTCGCGACTGTGCATTCGCAGGGTATTATGTTGAGGCTTCTGTCGACATTCAAGTAATATGATCTGTTCGGGACGCCTGCTTGTCATGGCAAGGCATGGCGAGTTTGCGCTTGGTACGTCAGTGGATGGTGAGAGCAAGATCGTGAGTTGGGTTCAGGCAAAAGATGGTCCAGAGAACCGTCAAGGACGCGGCAAGAAAGATAGTCGTTATCAGGACCAATGAGTAGTACACACCCAGTACTCATGATTGGGTCTATTTTCCATGTGCCGACAAGGTCCTGCCCAAGTAGAGAACCTTCAATGCGCGCTGGCCCCCACCCCCCCTTGGGTGGCTCGAGCGTCCTCTCCACCCCTGGTGCGTTCCTCCTCTTTGCGCCTCTGGTACGCCAGAGAAGTCAGTGAGGTGGGCAAGAGCAGTCGAACAGCAGTCAGAGGCGCGAATCGAATACTTTCCACTTCGGCTCAGCGAAGCACAAGTCTCCTCCTGAGTCTTAGTATGATGCATGTCTCTTCCATCATGGAAACCCCAAGGAACACAAAACACTGAGAGAAAGAACTGAACTGAGATGCCGCTCAAGCCGAGTTGCTGGCGGCTGCGTGTCTGCAACCTTTCAAGATGATTTTTTTCTGGATGCAACAACAACCCAACGTGAGAAAGGCTAAGCTTTCGGCGTTCTGACTTGCACCATTTCCAGACCCTTTTTGGTCTGGCACTCTCCATGCCTGATGGCTGGCCGCAATTCGACGAACCTCATTTCACCAGGCAGTTCAACACTTCCAATCACACTCACTTGCTTGTTTTGCTTGCTTATTTTGCCCCTCGCCTGGAGCCCTGCGTGCTCGCATGTGGTCTCCTTTCTTCCCCGCGGTTACTTAACGATTACCCCATCGCTTTCTGGAGCCTGGCAGCGGCTCCGTGATCCTGAGTCGGGACACTACTGATTCACGTCGTTTTTGGTAGCGCATGACCCTCCCGAAGCTGATCCACCAGCAGTCTGGCCAGGACATCGGTGTAACTCCTATCAGTTGGTACCTCCGTCGCCGCGGAGCCTTTGTTTCTCGAAGCATGGTTTTCGTGCCTGGTGGAACAACACACAGAGCGTCCAGATGGGCACGATGATGAATCGGATCTGCCGTCCTGTTTTCTCCACTTTCCTGCTTTCGACTGAGCAGCCGACCACCACGATTCTCTCGTCGCTCGAAACGCCATGACAGACAAATTTTAAGACTCTTGTGCCAACGGAATCCCCAGAATCGCCAGGCTTCATTTGCCGTCGACACCATTCACTGAAGCATTAAAATCTCCAGTGGACTATCTTACGAACCGACACAAACCAAACTCCGAGTTGGTCCCTGGTGAGTTTCATACCCTCTTGAATGAGAAAGTTGTGCCTCTATTTGCCAACACTACGGAATGCCGATCGCGGCATTCTGGTCGCTCCCCCCCCCTTTCTCGAATTGAGCGCACATCTTGCCATACTAGAAAATAAAATCTGCACGCTTAAAGGCTGACGTTTGACTTTAGACATCACGCCCTCAAACTCTTCATCTTGCACTGAGACAGGGACAGTCGCGAGATACGGCAGACGCAATGGCGACCACACAGTCCATCCTGCCAGAGTCTCGGGTCCTGGTCATCATGACCGGCGGCACCATCTGCATGCAGCCGACACCCGACGGCCTGCAGCCTATCGGAGGGTTCCTCAAAGCTGCTTTGGCACCTCGTCCGTCGTTCAACGATATGTCCAACCCGCCCCAGCTGGAGGCGTACAAAGACGGCCAGAAGGTCATGCTGGACAGCCTGCGGACGCCGCCGAGCGCCTACTCTCGCCACATCCGCTACGGCGTCTTGGAATTTTCGCCCTTGTTGGATTCCAGCTCCATCTCATCCGCCGGCTGGACCGAAGTGGCCCAGACCATCAGGGAGAACTACCGCCAGTACGACGGATTCGTCGTTCTGCACGGCACCGATTCGCTGTCTTATACGGCGTCCGCCCTGTCCTTCATGATGTCAGACCTCGGCAAGCCCGTTATTCTGACCGGATCGCAAGCGCCAATCTTCGCTCTGCAATCGGACGCCGTGGACAACCTCCTAGGCTCTCTCATCATTGCGGGAACGTTCCTCATCCCCGAGGTCGGCCTCTTCTTCCACCACAAGCTCTTCCGAGGAAACAGGACGACAAAGAACTCGGCCGTCAACTTTGATGCCTTTGCCAGTCCCAACTGCGAGCCCCTGGCCAAGATGAACGGTCTTGGCATCGACGTCAACTGGCCCCTCGTTCTTCGACCGACAAAGATTGCCGAACTCCAGGTTACCCAGCACCTCGACACGGCCCACGTTGCTTGCATTCACATCTTCCCCGGTATCAAGCCCGAGATGCTCGACTCGGTCCTGCGCGGACCGGACATTCGAGGCCTTGTCCTACGGACGTTCGGCATGGGCAACGCCCCTGGTGGTGTGGATGGCAGCCTCACCAAAGTCATCAAGGCGGCGGTCGACCGCGGTATCGTCGTGGTCAACGTCAGCCAGTGCCTCGACGGCTTCGTCTCCCCCGTCTACGGCCCGGGCACCGACCTGGGTCGCGCAGGTGTCATCTTTGGCCAGGACCTCACGACTGAGGCTGCTCTGACCAAGCTCTCCTTCCTGCTGGCTCTCCCAAACCTGACGACCGCCGAGGTCAGCGCCAGGATGTCGGCCTCCATCCGCGGCGAGATGACGGCCGAGACGCGGCCCGTCTTCTCCCACCCAGGCTCGTTGGATTCCGTCATTGCCCGTCTGTCATCTGCCGAGACCGCCTTCACCGCGCTCGGCTATGCCATTCGCGACGGGGATCTCAAGACGGTCAAGGAAATCCTTGAGCAGGGCCACGTCGGCGAGCACCACCCCCTCCTGACCAAGGCCGACTATGCGGGCAACACGGCCGTGCATTTGGCCGCCGTTGGGCGGGCAGAAATCCTGCGGGAGCTGCTGGTCAAGGGTGCGAGCGTGCACGTCAGGAACTGGGCCAACAACACGCCGCTCTTCCTGGCCCAGCGTGTGGATAATGAGGAGTGCGTTCAGCTGCTGAAGGAAGCTGGTGCACACCTCTGGCAGAACGAAGCCTCGATACTGGGCACCGCGCCCACGCCCCAGGAAGGGCCTCAGCCTCAGAGCTGAGGGGGGCTGTGGGAGAAAGCAAAGTAGGGATAGGCGACAACTGGTTGGAAAAGCGTTTCGCGTACATGATATACGTTACTTAAAGCTCATGATATTTTTTCCCATTGCATCCTATACGATATGTATGCAAGTCTGCTACAATATTAATCAGTGCCATCGGTGTGTTTGACCCGAAGAAAGTTTGACCCGAAGAAAGAATGCTGGGGATCCATGGCCCGCCTGTCGCCGCATAGCCCACAGAATCTCGGTCCTCAAGGTAAAATAGGCAGGGAGCCTAGGTTTTCATTATTTGTGATGGTCCTGCCGCCCGCGTAGGAAGTTTAAAAGTGCGTCCCGAATCTCACTTTTCTTCGCCCAAACCTGTCGAACAGCTTCCGGCTGCACTCGTGGAGAACGGGCGCCGACTGCCGAAGGAACAGACACGACTTAACGCAACCCCAGGCCGCCAGCGCCTCGATGCCTTTTGCAAAGTATCATCAATTTCTACCACACCTCTTGTTGAGCTGACCACCTCTCAATCATGCGAGTACTTCTCATCGGAAGGGGGGCCGTGAACACGCTCTGGCGTGGAAGCTCTGCCAAACGGCCCAGCATGTTGTCGTCGTTCCTGGTAACGGGGGCACGGCTGCTATGGCCCCCAACGTTTCCAACGTGGAACATGCCGACATGCACGACTTCAAGGGGCTTGTGGCCTTGGCCCGGGCGTTGGCGGTTGAATTCGTCCTGCCTGGTCCTGGCGACGTTGTCGTCGAGGGCATTGCTGACGTTTTCGAACCGGGTGGGTAGTTATGCTATTTGGATCGTAGAGCCTGATGTTAATCGTCGAGTTCACTAGCCGGCATCCCTTGTTTTGCACCATTAAAAGCTGCCGCGAAGCTGAAGTGGTCAAAGACGCTTGCAAAAGACTTCATGAGACGTGACAATATACCCACGGCAGAGTACCGCAACTTTAACACCTATGAGCACGCAAGAGAGTATCTTTCTTCTATCAACCACCGCGTGGTGATCAAGGTATCCGGTCTTGCTGCTAGAAAAGAAGTCGTTCTCCTAGAGGCGCAGGAAGAAGCCCAGCGAGAGCTCCGCGAGATGATGGTCGACAAGAAGTTTGGGCACCAAGAAGTCGTCATCCAGGAGTTTCTCTCGGGTGACGAGATAAGCGTCCTCGCGTTCTGTGACGGGCACACTTCAGATCGTTGCCACCAGTTCAGGATCACAAACGAAAATTCGATGGTTCGAAGGGTCCGAATACTGGGAGCATGGGGGTTTATGGACCGGTTGACTTTGCGTCACGCGAACCGATGGCTCAGATGGAGAAGGACCTAAGTGGTCCTACCCATTCACGGCCTGCAATCTGACGGTATGTCATAGCACTTTGTTGAATCCTGCGCTCCGCTTCTGCGAGTACTGATTTGATGGTCGTTCATCCAGGACATGTCTTTCGCGGGATTCTCTTCACAGGTGTCATGATCGCACCTAAAGGGCCAAAGGCGAGCGCAGGCAAGGTGCTAGAATCGACGTCGCTGTCGGTCCCGAAGGTAGGAAATTTGTTACCCGAAGCTGGTGGCTAGTGGCCGTGTTGGCTGACTGTCGAGGTAGATATCCAAATCTTGCATGCTGGGACGGTTCGACTTGGCGATGAGCTCCGAACAGCTGGCGGCCGCGTCTTGGCCGTAGCCGCGGTAGGGGCCAGTCTTGCAGAGGCGGTACGCGCTGCGTACAAAGGCGTCAGCTGCATGGCTTTTGAAGGAATGCAGTACAGGCCGGACATAGGCTCCAGATCAGTCGATTATCGGAGGCACTGGATGATGCAAGGTACTATTTATTTGCTGACAATGCGTGTCTTTAGATGCTTGACCACGTCCGATGAGAAGTAAGATGAAGGCCATACGGCTTCATGTTTGCATTCAATTCCCCAGAATATGTACCAAGGTTGAGACGCAGAGCAATGCATGCAGAGGCAACCCCTGGCTTAAACGGCCAATGCTGATGAATGATTTCGTGGCAAAGCGGTCTGCGCGCGCACACACACACATACACACACCAGACATGACTTACCTATTCAGTACCATGCCATATACCTCTCAATTCGGCGCCATAGGCCAGATAGGTCGTGACAGAGAGAAGAGAGTCTGGCCAGTGCATGGGTGATTCGGCACCAGGAAGCGGCGAGTTGTCGGTCTAATTAGAGCAAAAAGCCACGGGCGTTGTCGCCGACAGATCGAACCTCGTGACATTCGATGCCCGGCTCGACTACCTGTTCGGATCACGACGGTGACTTTTCGGCCTGGTCCTGCATGCAAAGACTCGAGTGTCTTCAAAGGTTCAAACCTCGACTTTTGCTGTCCTAGTCTGATCTGGCTCTTGTTGGTATGGTATTACCATATCGTTTCAACATACACATACATAGGTCGTGAGGTTGGAAGGGGGGCTCTCCGGTGGAGAAGAGGGTGTAGGCCTTCTCGCCCATTTCGGTTAGTCATAAAGCGCGACCCTAGAGAGTGTCATTGATAGGCAGTCCGATAAGGACCGTAGATAGAATCAGCAGTGGAAAAAACCCAAGAGCTTCCCTAGGTATTCTGAGTGTGCGACGCATCACGCTATCCAAATCACGAGCACAGCAAAGCGAAACTGCCGACATCAATTGAGGAACCATCCATCTGAATTTACGACGACATCTTCATTCGACAGAACATCATCATCAAAATGGCCGAGCAAGCACAACCAGCCGCCAGCGGCAAGCCGTCGACACCGCCCCTCATCCACAACGCCGCCATCGCGGGCGCCGTCATCTCACCCATCATCATGCTGCTGCCACCGCGGCGCGTGGACTGGCGGTTCTTCCTGCTGACGACGACCTTTTCCATGTCGACGTCCCAGCTGGCCTACGACTGGACGGGCCAGTCCATCTACGATCGCGTAGGCAAGCGCTTCGAGCGGCTGACGACGAACGAGCTGCCGCCGGCGGCGCAGGAGACACAGAGGCGGCTGCGCGAAGAGAAGATGCGGCGCGAGGGGCTCACGGAGCAGGGCTTGCGGCAGCAGGAGCTGGCGAAGCGGAACGCGCTGCAGAAGCTGTGGTACGGCAACGAGACGGAGGAGTCCTGGAACAAGAAGCGAGCCGAGGAGCACCAGACGGCACTTGAAGAGGGACAGGGGCTCAGCGGCATTATCATGGGCCAGATCAGCGAGGTCATCTCGGGCAAGAGCGACGATACGAAGAAGGATGACGAGGGTAAGAAGGCGTAAGCCGGAGGCGTGTCTTGCGATGGAGCAGGAGGCCGGCCTCGACGGCTGTTGTACAACCACCTGTAAAATGACACGGGCAAAAGGTAGGGAGCGCTTTCGGTGCTCATGCTGTGAGGACCACGATCAAAATCTCCTCTATAATGCTATAATGATATCAGACTTGCCAGCAAAGCTCTGCGTGCCTAGGCATCAGTATTGAGGACACGCTGCTCATTGCAAACGGATAGGTGATGCTGTCAGTGATATCACTTGGTCGGTATGTCGACACGAAGTCTGCTCCAAACCAAAGTGCGTGTCATTGTGGATTGCCATTACGACACATCCTGGGACGAATGCCGGAACGAATGCCGTGGACGTTCTTGACGAGAAAGACGTGGAATTCCAGAATAGCAACAGATGTGGAGGGGTTGCGAGGGCGATCAATAGTGTCATGGTCCGCCCACCATTCGATTCTGAAGGCAACGAATCAACACGGAGCGTCAATTCTCGTAATCTGGAGTTTATCGCCATCCCAAGGCAGCCTGACAAGCCCGTTGCTTCATCGGTACTGTACAGGCGTGCGGTGTGTCTGCTGTGCATGCTGCGCCACGGGCAGCTGTGCTCGCATTGCCGATGCCGAGAGACGCGTGCTGAGCCTCTGCCGTCGTAAGGTACCTACCCACCTGGGTACCGTACCTTCAGGGAACCTGGGGTGGTGGGGTCCGCCCACTGATCTGTCCTTGTGTGGCCAAGCCAGCCACTGTGGGTTCGCCGAGAAGGGATGTCCGGCGGTGGTGCAACCGCTGTGGACATGGCCGTGGGGACGAGCCGACCGCTTGCTCTCTCAAATGGGAGGCCAGACGAAGGAGGGCAGAGCGGCGATCAACGGGCAAGCGGGTGGCCACTGGTTCGGTGATATATCATGTCGGTGTAAGGTAAGGCAGGCAGGCAGAGGGAGGTACCCAGGCTTCATGCGATGCGGCGGGCGGTGCTGAGTCCTGACTCGCCAGTTGATGCAGAATGTCAGGGTGCATAATGAAGCATCTGAAACTCGCGGCTGGTGATCGCACCTCCACCGGCATACATGTGCATAGCTAGCGGCGCCATCTCACTGGCTGAGGCCTCTGGCTTTCCCGTTTGTGTGCCACTTTTAGAAGCAGCTTGGCATGTGCAGCCACTGAAGAGCACCCAAGTCTGAGCCAGAGGCACCAACTGCCCTGCACAGCCCTCCGGCGTCGCCAGCCACTTCACGACGCCCAAAGACAATACCGACGTCCCCAGGTACCTCGGAGGCAGGCCATCAATCGACCAGGTCTCGGACAGTCATGCTTCTTGCCCGTCTAGAGCGTCCTTTCTCTCCTGGTTTCTCTTTCTATCTCTTCCTACCCCATAACAGAGACTTCTAGAGTCAACATTTTTTTTCTTCTAAAACCAACCAGGAAGAAGTAACTCCACCAGCGTCGTCAGCCTGCACTCGGGCCCCATCGAGAGAAGTCCCGTCAACATACCGCGCCACGTTGGCCCCTGGGCCACCTAGGACACTTCGACGTCACAGCCGGGGAACCTAGCACACCTGCACCTGCAAAAGACCCCGTATTCTTGCCCGCCTTGCCCGTGCCTTGTCCCTCTTCAGGCACCCGACCACCATTACACCTTTTAGCTTCTTTACATTCCTGGACGCACCTCCACGCCTTATTTCCCTTCAAGACCCCGTGCCTCTAATCCCTCCGCCCATCAGGCTCTTTTCCCCTTGCTTTTACAGCGAAATTTCCCCGGACGACGTCCAACCACCGTCCTGGTCGCATTGGAACACTTCGCTCGCTGTTTGTCGCTCGTTTTCGAAAGAAGCAACCACACACAAGTCACGATATGGCCTCCAACGACTATTACCATGGCAATCGCCCGCCATCTCCCGGTGGCGCCTCGCAGTCTCCCTACTACGGACACGCTCAGGGCACCTACACGCCGTCTATAGCGTCGACGCCCGCGCCTCCCTACTCTTCCGCCTCGGCGTATGCCGCGCCCAGCAGCAACAGCCAACCGCATCGCGCTCAGACCGTCTCCTCCTTTCGACACCGTCTTCGACGACCCGGGCCTACCCGACAGACTCGACTCAAGACGGCTTCGCCACAACGCCTACGACAACAACATATTGCCGCGCCAACAGGCGGCCCCTACGGCAACTTTGACAAGGGCCTACCCACGGCCAGGCATGCAGCAGCAGCAGCAAGCAGCATCATCATCAAGCAGCAGCCTTAACAGTCCTCGCCTTTCACCCGCATCCGCCGTGCCCGGGCAGGCGCACTTCGCCGATGACATTCCACTTCAGAACCAGGGCCACAACCCGAGCCTACCACATGATCAGCCGCCGGCCAAGGATGTAGAGATGAACGATCATGTGTACGAAGCCCCAGGCTCAAGCAGGCGAAAGAAGTCTAGAAGGGTCGGCTTCGGCCAGCTGGGCATGCTGGGTGCCGACAAGAAGCGCATCGCCTGGGTCGTCTACATCTTGACGATCGCGCAAGTTGGTGTGTTTATCGGTCAGATCGTGAGAAATGGTATGTTGGGGAAAACAACCAGTGCCTCTGCTCTCCATTCTCGTGCTAACCCAGGAACAGCGACTTTGACAGGCTCTCCCATCATGATCAAACCCTCCTTCAACCCCATGATCGGCCCCTCTTTCTACGTCAACATCAACATGGGTGCTCGTTATGTGCCCTGCATGCACACCGTCGAGGCCATCAAGGAAGCTCAACAGCCCATTTGGTGGCCCTGCCCCAACACGACCTCGAACGACCAGAACGACGAGTCGAACCGCTGCAGCCTTGGTGAGCTGTGCGGCTTTGGCGGCGTCCCCAACCCTCAGGACCCCAACGAGAAGGGTGAACCCAATCAGTGGTTCCGCTTCATTACGCCAATCTTCCTGCACGCCGGTCTCATCCACATCGGAGTCAACATGCTCCTGCAGATGACCATCGGCAAAGAAATGGAGATGGCCATTGGGCCCGTCCGCTTTTTCCTCGTCTACTTTAGTGCTGGCATCTTCGGCAATGTTATGGGCGCCAACTATGCTGGAACGGGCGAGGCTTCGACGGGCGCCTCGGGTGCCCTCTTTGGCATCATCGCCCTGACGGCCCTCGACTTGGCGTACTCTTGGAAAGACCGCCGCCATCCTGTGAAGGATCTCATGTTCGTGCTCTTGGACGTTGTTATTTGTTTCGTCCTTGGTCTCCTGCCGGGTCTTGACAACTTTGCCCATATTGGAGGCTTCCTCATGGGCCTATGTCTCGGCATCTGTGTCCTTCACTCGCCGAACTCCCTGCGGAGGCGTCTGGGCTATGATACGTCTTATGCCACCGTCAACGGCGAGGGGGCTCAGGCGGGTCCCGTACCATTTGTCAAGAACCCCACAGGCTTCTTCAAGGGCCGCAAGCCTCTCTGGTGGGCGTGGTGGCTTGTTCGCGCGGCTGCCCTTATTCTTGTCATCGTTGTCTTCATCGTTTTGCTCAACAACTTTTACGTCAGCCACAGCACCTGCAGCTGGTGCAAGTATCTGAGTTGCTTGGTGAGTTATATCCTTCTGAAATGCTGAGGAAGCAGTCACTGACTCCATTTCTCTATGTAGCCCGTGAACGGATGGTGTGAGATGGGCGAGCTCAAGTTCGATACCATCAATGCCCCTGCACGTATGGCTCGAGATGTTCTGTCTGGTGGCAGTTAGACATAGGGGTGATTTCAAGCTTGCAATAATCATGACCCATTGCATCTGGGAAAATCATTGCACTGTTAGCGCCGGCGTCCGGTTTGGTTGGCTCAAGGGTGGCATAAGAAATTGATTACCTGTTCTACATTTAAATCCGTGACCCTCCATCAGGTTCACATTCTAAATTTCCAGTGCAGTTCAAGACAGTAGGATGCCGCTATTGAGCTAGGGATGTCAACACCTGCAAAGCGGTTGGACAGGGCGGCGTCTACGGGGCAAACCTGCTTAGTCACATATCGCGTACCCCTGTCGCCCATTAAACAGACCGATTCACGTCACGTCTCTGACGCGTCTCTGAGCAGGTCCTACCCGCGAACCCAGCACGGCATGTCAACGAAATTGTCCCTCCCCAGACCCAGACCCCCCTCTCTGGCCGGACAACCATTTCCCATCACACACAATAACCATCGCAGCATGCGCACCGGAACTGTTTGAGCTCTTACTGCTGATATTCGGATTCCTGGTTGTTGAAGGCTTCAGGCTTTCTTTCCTCTCAACATGGCAACGTCTGTACTGCCCCAAAAACGTGTGCTCGGGGAGACGTCGAACGCCCGCCGCAACATCCCCTCGTCCCCAGGCTCCAAGAAGCGCAAGGTCGAGCCCTTTGCCTCCTCACCTGCGACGCGCTTCGCAGGAAGCCAAGAAACCCGAGAAATCCTCTGAACTCGAGCAGCCAAGAGCGCATTCGAGTCCGAAGTCCTCGAGAAGCTGAGCCAGGACATTTCCGAACTGAAACAGAACAACAGTGAGAAGGACCAAGCATGGGAGCGACCGCTTCTCGACGACTTCAACCCCGACAAGACCACCATTGTCTTTCAACAGATCGAGGCTGAGGAGGGTACATTGCATGGCGGCCGTGCCACCGTCAAGCTGTTTGGCGTCACCGAGGCTGGTCACTCGGTCATGCTGCACGTTACCGACTTCAAGCACTATCTCTACATCGCCGCCCCCGTCTCCTTCCAGCCTGAGGACTGCAACAACTTTAGGGCGTATCTGGAGACGCAGGTCGCTCAGCACCAGCCCGTTATTCATTCCGTGGCCCTACTCATGCGCGAAAACATCTATGGCTTCCAGGGCAATGTCAAAAACCCATATCTCAAGATCACAGTGAACGATCCCAAGCACATCGGCAAAGTGCGGTCTACTATCGAGGCCGGCAATGCCAACTGGAAGGGCCTCTGGAAGGGCGTTGACGGTGGCGTGATGACGTTTGACAATATTCAATATGTCCTGCGCTTCATGGTGGACTGCAAGGTATGTTGATCGCCTCATGCTCTCTCTCCCCTGCAAGTGTGCTGACCGTCATTGTAGCTGCAAGGCATGTCCTGGGTCGAAGCACCGGCGAAATCCTACAAATTGATGTCCAGCTCGCTACGACAGTCCAACTGCCAGATCGAGGCCGAAATCAGCTACCTTGACCTTGTCGCACACAAGCCGGAAGGCGAGTGGTCAAAGATGGCGCCGCTCCGCATCTTGTCCTTTGATATTGAGTGTGCCGGTCGCAAGGGCATCTTCCCAGAGGCGAACCACGACCCCGTCATCCAGATCGCAAACGTTGTCACAAGATACGGAGAGAAGAAGCCGTTCATTCGCAATGTGTTCTGTCTGGACACGACGAGCTCCATCGTTGCGACACAAGTTCTCGAGTTTGATAAGGAAGAAAAGATGCTGAAGGAATGGCAGAAGTTTCTACAGAGCGTCGACCCCGATCTCATCATCGGATACAACATTGCCAACTTTGATTTCCCGTATCTGCTCGACCGCGCGAAACATCTCAAGGTGGCAGGCTTCGAGTACTGGTCCCGTATTCCCAGTATGCCCTCGAGAGCCAAAGAAACGAGTTTCTCCAGCAAGCAGATCGGCAACCGCGACTCGAAGAGCACCAACACCAACGGCAGGTTGCAGCTCGATCTCCTGCAACTAGTGCAGCGTGACCATCACCTGCGAAGTTATACGCTCAATTCGGTGTGCTCCCAATTCTTGGGCGAGCAGAAGGAGGACGTCCACCATACAATGATTACAGAACTCTTCAACGGTACCCCTGAATCCCGACGTCGATTGGCGCTGTACTGTCTGAAGGACGCCTACTTGCCGCAACGCCTCATGGACAAGCTCTCTTGCCTCGAAAACTACACAGAAATGGCAAGAGTCACAGGCGCTCCGTTCAACATGCTACTCGCCCGAGGCCAGCAGGTGAGGTTCATCAGTCAGCTTTTCCGCAAGGCGCTGGAGCAGAAGCTGGTGATTCCCAATATGAAGTCCGAGGCTAGCGACGAACAGTACGAAGGTGCAACGGTCATTGAGCCGACAAGAGGCTACTACGATGTTCCCATTGCAACGCTCGATTTCGCATCTCTGTACCCCAGTATCATGCAGGCGCACAACCTTTGTTATACGACCATTGTGGATAAGAAAGCCATCGAGAAACTTGGCCTCAAGAAGGACGAAGATTACATCGTCACTCCCGCCGGCAACACCTTTGTGACAGCTAAGCAACGAAAGGGTCTCCTCGCACAAATTCTCGAGGAGCTGCTGGCTGCCCGAAAACAGGCCAAGCGCGAGCTCGCAGTCGCAACTGATCCGTTCAAGAAGGCTGTGCTGAACGGAAGACAGCTGGCTTTGAAGGTTAGCGCCAACTCGGTGTATGGTCTCACGGGTGCCACAACGGGCAAACTTCCGTGTCTGGAAATCGCCAGTAGTACCACAAGTTTTGGTCGGCAGATGATTGAAAAGACAAAGGAGGAGGTGGAGGCCAAGTACACCATCGCCAACGGGTATTCGCACGACGCGCAGGTCATCTACGGTGACACGGATTCCGTCATGGTCAAGTTTGGCACCAAGGACCTGGCGGAAGCAATGAAGCTGGGCGAGGAAGCTGCCGGCTTCGTGTCCTCCAAGTTCGTCAAGCCGATCAAGCTCGAGTTCGAAAAGGTCTACTTCCCGTACCTGCTCATCAACAAGAAGCGCTATGCTGGTCTCTACTGGACCAAGCCGGAGAAGTACGACAAGATGGACACGAAGGGTATCGAGACGGTTCGTCGAGACAACTGCTTGTTGGTCCAGACGGTCATTGAAAAGGTCTTGCGCATGATTCTCATCGACCAGGACGTACAAGGCGCGCAAGAGTAAGTTCCATAGACACATGTCTGAGTCCCAGACACGGGACTTCCAAAGCTAACATTGTCTCGCAGATATGTCAAAGACATGATCGCCGACCTGCTACAGAACAAGGTGGACATGTCAAAGCTTGTCATCACCAAGGCGCTGACAAAGGACGACTACTCGGCCAAGCAGGCACACGTGGAACTCGCCCAACGAATGAAGAAGCGCGACGCAGGTTCGGCTCCCGGACTGGGTGACCGTGTGGCGTACGTCATGATCAAGGGCGCAGCGGGAGCGAAGAACTATGAGAAGTCGGAGGACCCCATCTTCGTGCTGGAGAACAACGTGCCGATCGATACGAGGTACTACCTGGACAACCAGCTGGCGAAGCCACTGGGTCGCATCTTCGAGCCGATTCTCGGAGAGACCAAGGCCAACTCGCTCCTGACGGGCGCGCACACGCGAACGATTGCCGTGGCGGCGCCCATGGTCGGAGGTCTCATGAAGTTTGCTAAGAAGACGCAGACGTGCATGGGCTGCAAGAAACCGCTGACGAGCAAGCAAGAGGCAGAGGGCGCTGTGTGCTCAGACTGCGCGCCGCGTGTGGGAGAGCTGTACAAGAAGACGCTGGACCGTGTGTCTGACCTCGAGGTGCGCTTTGGGCGGCTCTGGACGCAGTGTCAGCGGTGCCAGGGCAGCATCCACTGCGAGGTCATCTGCAGCAGCAAGGACTGTCCGATTTTCTACATGCGAATGAAGGCGAAGAAGGATCTGGAGGATGCGGGCAAGGAGCTCAAGCGTTTCGATTTCGACCAGGCGGCCATCTGGTAAGGAGGTTGCACACTCAGGGACCTCAAGGGTCAGTTCGGCGTGAGGAGGCGCAGGTATGCTTCTGGTATTACTCGAGATGGCGTTTGGCATGGGGGTTGATTTGGACGCCAGCAAAGCTTGGCCTGCAATATGGGAAATACGAGTTCATTTCAACAGCAGCTTGAAGACGATGCAACTAGTGACAGCGTGCGGCCTTTCTTTCTCTCTCTCCCTTTCTCACACAACCTCTTTCTCCTCAGCACATACACGGCTGTTTAGGGGTTGCGGCAAAGGTCGCGGGAGCTACCGAAGATTGAACAATGACGGAATGACGCGGGGTACTTCGCCTCACCACAAACCCGTTATCTACCTACCTTACTAGGCAGGTCGCTATGTTACACTCTCACATGACGACGGCTCTCGGATTCATTCCACTGTAGTCAGTCAGGCATGAGAGAAACCTCGCCATCTTCTGTCTCTGATGGTCACTTGAATGAGCGAGCAGCCACACCATAGGGCGTCTTCTCATGGCTACGATCCGGCACCTCGCCCCCCTCATTCTCCTTCTCGCGTCGTCAGTCGAGGTGCGAGCCAAGAACATTGACTACGCCGCTCTCCCTGACGAGACGCTCTTCCCAGGGCCGTGGGAACGTTATATCAAGGCCCCGGCAGATAAGACGCGCATCACGCCGGCTCGCATATTGGCCACCTTTGGCAATGTCACGACGAGCTCCGCCACACCATGGGCCGTCACACCAGGCGATCATGTTCCTGGACAGGGAATACTGATCGGGCCCGAAGGACTGCTGACTCTGGAGTTTGACGAGAACATTGGCGGCCGGTACGTGTGACGGAGGCGGCGGGATTCAAGCCGTGGACTTCACACATGATCGCTGACAGGCGGCACAGGGTCTGCTTCGATGTCGAGTCTGTGGGCGACGATCCAGAGCTTTACCTCTCTTACTCTGAATCTCCTCTGTTCTCAGGGAAGCTGCCCGACGCGACGACGGACCGCTCGGAGGGAGACCTGCCCCTGCAGATCGAGTTTGGGACCCAGACTGGAGTGGTCTGCGTCGGAAAGGACTTCGTGCGAGGCGGCTTCAAATATCTGACCATTCGGATGCCGGTGTATCCCGTACTCGGTAGCGGTCCAGCCCCTAATTCACATCGTGACGTTTTGTCCGGGCAACACGTCCTGAGCCCGGGAGCCGAACGGAGGAAGTCAGACAGAGATCCGTACGCGACGCCGTGGGTGTCCATCCGGAACCTCTGGGTCGACTGCACTGCCTACCCCTCGCAGGCCCAAGGAAGAGCCTATTCGGGCTACTTCTTCAGCTCAAGCAACCTGCTCAACAGGATCTGGTACGCCGGCGCGTACACCCTGCAGCTCTCGACGCTCGACCCCGGTGAGGGCTCGTCCAGGATCGATTACAACCGTCTCGTAGACGACAACGAGTCGCCCGCCGGTTCTTGGTACTCCAACTTTACCATCGCCAACGGCACCGCCGTCATCGCCGACGGTGCGAAACGAAACCGCATCGTCTCGCCCATCGATCTGCTCCTCGCCACGCCTGGGCATCGCCGTGTCGACACATGACATGCTCGCCGTGCGCAACGCCCTCGATGCGCTTTTTCGCGCACCAGTACGCCGACGGCTCGCTCCCCGCAGGCCGGGGCCCCCTTTGGCTTTCCACGGCGAGTTCTCGACACGGCACATCTCCAAGCCCTCCTCAGCCGTCCACGCCTATGTCAAGTTCTCGGCGACATGACCTGCTCACGCGCCGCTGGCTAGCCTACCTGCGCGCGTCAACGTCAGCGTGGCCAAGATCGACAACGACACGAACCTCCACCCTGGCAAGAAGCACAGCCTTCGAAGCAAGCGCCTGCTCTCCGTCGTCCTCGACAAGACTATCACCCTCGCACGCTGGCTCGGCGACGAAAACGACGGCAACATGCACCGTCCCGACGACGACCTCTGGACCGCCGCCCGCGCCGTCCTCCACAAGGGTATCCAGTCCCTCTACTGCCCGACGACCCATCTCCACGCAGCGAACCTCGCCGAATCCCGCCGCTGCCCCGACCCCGACCACCTCGCCCCGCAAGCTGGCAACGCCTGGGCCCTCGTCGCCGGCGCCGCCCACCCATCCTCATCCTCACCCGTTTCCCGCGCCCTCAGCGCGCGCTGGCTCCCCGCCGGCGCGCCGGCGCCCGAAACACCACGCCTCCTCTCGCCGCTGGCCTCCTCCATCGAGCTGGTTGCCCACGCCGCCGCGGGC